AAAGTGCCGACATGTCCGTAAAATGGTAAGTTCATGTTCGTTGTCTCGAGAATCTGAAGCAATCGCCCCAGGTTATGGATGTGTTTACGATATTCGGCCTGCTGGTATGTCGACTGAGTCCTGTGGAAGTCGAAGGTTGCAACGACTACGCCTTGTCGACGACCATGGATCGATATCGCATGATCGCCCACCATAGAGATACGTATATTGCCTAGATTTTGGCGATCCTTGTCGTCTGCAACTTCACCAGGGGTTGCAAGAACTCGTGTCCGGTCAACATCACCAAAGTCGCAATGTTTGCTGGTGCCGAACGGACACAAGCTCTTCTCACCGCGGATGACGTGATTAGAGCGAATGAGTCTTTCGATATCGCCCCATTTATTCTCTCGGTGTTCATTGGGCGTCCAATCCGGTACCCAAGACGGCTGCCCCTTCATGTTGTTCATTGCAGCGATCAGGACTAGATGTGGAGACCCTGTTATCTGGACCAGAAGCCGAGAGAACGAAAAGTAGATCGCTTCCTTGGATTCTCCATAATCTACCTGGGGAAGAGGATGCCGGGTGCGACGTTGCAAGATAGCCCAAAGGCCAAAGGCCATGTCTTTGGACACTGTAGCATCGCGAGTGTAAACACCGTCAATGAGATCGTTCACGTTGGTTTGGCGTTCTCCATTGCGGTACAAAACGCGCGGGGATGATAATAAAACCAGGCGTACCATCATCACGAGAATGATGAAGACGGCTGTTAATGAAACGGCCAGAATTACTTTGCGCTCATGAGGATCGGAACCAAGGAATGCGGACCAGAGCAGAAAAATGAGTAATAATCCGAGGAAGCAGAAAGTTGTTCGATCGGTTAGGCGGTGAAGTCGGCACATGCGTCTCGAAAATTCTGCATAGACTTCCAAAGAGGAGTCGCGCGCAGGATCTGAAGTTGTGCACTCCGGATTCATGTCTTGCCTACTCATAGCAACTCTCTTCCAAGGGCACATGTACGACCCGAGACGAGGGCTCGCAGTAGCCAAAAAGACCAGACTGATTGCGAATCTGTCCCAGCAGATATGAGTGCTGCCGCAAGCTATAATCGGGTTGGAGGCGAGAAGGATCTCTTGGTAGGTCCAGAGTCTACTGATCCAAGTCCGCTGTAGCAGATCCAGAAGATCCTCTTCGGTTGCGTATTTTGTTTCTCTGTTGAACAATCGCAGTATATAAGGACTCAGCGGGCCTCGCCATGTTCCGACAGAATCTTCTCAAGTCAGCGTAGATACGAGTTCGAGGTTATGACGCTTACCATGGAACACGAAAGGGTGCCTTGTCAAGCTCCAACGTGCTATAGTAGCAGAACAGGCTGCGAGAAATGGGCGCCCATAATCAGCTCCGGGGGTTTTGGTATCACCGCCCTCCGCCTGGAAGTAGTCCAAGAAGCCAGCGGTTTTCATATATTCAATTGCGCGATCGCTTTTCTCGTTGCCTTCGCCGAGCCACACGTACACAGTTGCTGCTCGCGAGTATACATCTCCCATCAGCGGAATCTGGTGTTCCTTTTCCTTCGTGTTCTTCTGGTCGATGCAGATCGCATCAATCCATATCGTGAAAGCGCCAAGTCGCGTGCGTAGGTGCTGTAGCGCTGAATAGCCATTGACAGAGACGACGATGTCCACGCCGTTGCATGTAATAGTTCGATTGTCTTTCGGTGAGCCCCAGACGTAAGAGATGGCGGTAAAGTCGGGAGAGGTCTCTAGATCCACGATGCGGAGATGACCGACTACAGCGGCTGCTTCAGTCGACGCTCCATCGACATCGAGAACGCGTATGCACTTCGAGCTTGGAGGTATAGGTAACGAATGGTATGGCGCTGCGGCGGAGCCATGGGCCATGACAATTGATGCCTATTAACAAAAAGCGCAATAAACCTCGGGTTCTGCGAAAAGGATAAATACGGCGGAGAGACGCGCTGCAACATGTCTATTAACAGTGTAGACCACAACACATGCAGGGGCAGCCAAGGAAACGTGGCTTGAGCGAAACTGTATTGTTGACTATTCCAGGTTGGCTTCGGTTCACGATGCTATCAAGGAGGCTATTCGGGGCCGGCCCGCATGATTGTATGGCTTCGCAAATGCTGTCTCTCAAGTAAGGGACCTCGGGATGCCGTGGGTAGATTTGAGTAAGTACACATCGCCTCCAAGTCCATGGAGGATTCCAGGGGCGTTGATGCAGGAAATGAAGACGGTGCTTGAGCTTAGCTGGGTGCATATCTCCGAAGCGCCCAGGGCTGCCAGCCTACCAGCCACCCGCAGCCGCAGCCGCTCCTTTCACCACCTGTGCAGCCTTTCCACGGCAACAGCAGAAGATGACCGCGAGGAAACAGCCGTCGCGATATATTACGAGTGTCGCACCTGGCTCGAGCGGCTCATGCGACGTTCGAATCGAAGCAATGTGTGTCTTGCGCAGTGCTGCGACATCTGCCGAAGAATGATCGACTCGGCTTCGCGATGACGTAATGTTCGCCTTGCACTGATTGATGATGCCAACACGCCCGTGAGATGCATTCCCACTCGCATACTCCAATATATCTTTATATATCCAATCTGAAGAAAAACAAGACCAGTGGAGTTTGGAACATTGGGATTCATTCACCATGTCCTCCAATACCTCGTCCACAGTCCCCCTCTGGATCGACAACAAGCCCATCCATACCCAAACCAACATCCCCGTGACCCAAGCCAGCACCTCCAAAACCATCCACCACGCCTCCTCCGCCTCCACCACTGAAGCAACCCAAGCAGCTGTCTCCTCCTTCTCCGCTTTCAAATCCTGGCGCTCCACCTCCCACACAACCCGTCGCAACCTCCTCCAAAGCGTAGCCACCTACTACGCCGACAACGCCTCTACGCTCATCGCCGCGCAAATCGCCGAAACCTCCTGCACAGAAGCCTGGGCGCGTACAAACGTCAACCTCTCCATCTCGTACCTCAACGAAATCGCCGCGCAGATAAGCAGTGTGACAGGCGTTATTCCCCCAACTGAAAAGCCCAACACCCAGGGTTTTGTGTTCAAAGAACCCATCGGCCCGGTCTTGTGTATCGCACCCTGGAACGCCGCACTCGTTCTTGCTACGAGAGGAATAGCAAGTGCCATAGCAGTTGGCTGCACCGTAGTCTTCAAAGCGAGTGAACTGTGTCCCCAAACCCACGGACTTATCACGCAAGCTTTCGCCGAGAGTGGGTGTCCAGATGGCGTGTTGAACCAGGTGCAATGTGGGCGGGAAGATGCGGCTGAAGTGACCGAGACGTTGATAGCGCATGATGCGATTCGTAAGATTGAATTCATCGGTAGTGCGGAGGTGGGGAAGAAGATCATGGGCATCGCGGCCAAGTATCTCAAACCGGTTCTGATGGAACTAGGCGGGAAGTGTCCGGCGATTGTGCTTGAAGATGCGAATCTGGAGGAGGCAGCAAAGCAGTGCGGGATGGGGGCTGTGTTGAATCATGGGCAGATTTGCTTTAGTACTGAGAGGATTATTGTGATGGAGGCGGTGGCGGAGAGGTTTAAGGCGTTGCTGGTGGAAGCTATGAAAGGGATGGAGGGGCCGGCTGGAACCGCGGTGTCGGAGGTTATTGCGCGGCATGCTGAGGATGTTACAAGGGATGCGCAGGAGAAGGGCGATGAGGTTCTTGTTGGTGGTGTTGAAGCTGCTTCTTCTGGGAGTGGGCTTGCGCTCAAGCCTACAATTGTCGTCAACCCCTCGCCTTCATCTCGGATTATCGATGAAGAGACGTTCGGCCCTTCCGCTTCGCTTTACGTCGTTTCTTCAGATGAAGAAGCTATCGCATTGGCAAATCGCTCAGCATATGGTCTCAACGCTACGGTCTGGACGCGCGATATGGCTCGGTTCATGAAGATGTCGCGGGAGCTGGAATATGGCCAAGTTCATGCCAACAGCATCTCAGTGTACACATCGCCGACTGGAAGCCAAGGCGGCGTCAAAGGCAGTGGATTTGGGCGACAGAACGGAAAGTGGGGACTAGACGAGTTTGTTGTCGAGAAGTTTGTCACTTGGTGTGGGTGAAGTGGAAGGCCTTAACATTGCTCAAGAAAGACCACGCATTCAGGGACACGGCAAGGTTGATTTTAGTGTTTTATTGTTTCAGGTGATGACCACGTCGTACTCTCATATACGGAAAAGTCCAACACACCCCAAGTATTAGTACCAATAGGCAGATTATTATTTCCTTCCATCCTTCCCCCTCAACCCAGAACGTGGACAAACACCAATGGCCCTTACCAAGTAAAAGTCATCAACTGGGGGTTGAGCACAATTGGCAACAAAAAGTGGAAGACAACCACGGTGCCCATAGGCCAAACGGCAATGAGCTCCTTGATCCTCCAGTCCTCCTGCAGCGCAAAAGCCATGGTAATCATGATCGCAGTCATGCCAATGCAGAACATGAAGCTCCACTTGAACTTCCTCAGCACCCTGCTGATGGCGACGAAGAAACTGACTTGTTCGGTTTCCTTGGAAGTGGAACCCCACTCAAGAGGCCAGCTGACGAAATGCGCGAGGAGAGCTTGCGAGACGTGTAGAGAGATGCCGCCGAGGAAGATGCTGAGGAGAGGGATCCATTTGATGTTTGTCCAGAGGCCGCCGAAAAAGGAACCCTCGCCGATGCGGTAGCGGAGGACGGCGAGAGCGATGTTACCGAGGACACTGAAGACGATGATGATGGCGAAATAGACTGATGGGTGTTAGTGATGCGCGAGACGAACAATAACGTGATGCTTACCGCGGAAGGAGTTGATGTAGTAATGGTCTAGCCATCCGTTGAAGAAACCGATTAAGAAGTAATTGAGCATGGTGAGAGCCCATGAGCAGCCGAGAGCGTAGTAGGTACCGATGTAAGCCATGATGGTGACTTTAGATGCGAGAGGCATGTTGGAACTGATGTCATCGAGTTAGTTGACGGACGGATAAGACGGCACGATCTCTGAAGATCTACTTACAAGATAAAGGTGCGGAAGAGCTTGGTGAAAGGACCTCGGGTGAACCAGTAGATCAAAGGGTTGAAGATGAGTTCGTTGCAGCCATATGCATACCTAGAGAATGTGAGTTAGCGGTTGTAAAAGGTAGATATTGACAAGGGCGAACATACTTCTCCCAACGTGCAAGCTCATCGTATACGGTAAGCGATACACCCTCCTTGAAGCCATCACCCTGGTATGAGGCCAATCGAATGATGTAACCAGCACTCTGCAGCCGCAGACTCATATCGAAATCCTCAGACACCGTCTCCTCGGACCAAAATTTGTCGAACGTGTGGCCGTCTTCTGTGACCTCGTAAGCCACCTTCTGAAGTGCCTCCCATCTCAGGATAGCGTTGTGGCCGACAAAAGGCGCGACGTCTCCACCAGCGACAGCAAATCGAATCATGGTGTAGATCATGTTGGTGAAGAAAGTGATGCCGTTTTCGAAGAAGCTGTTGGTGACGTTCATGACTCCGGAAGAGTACTGTAGGATGGCCACTTCCTGACCCTGCTCCATTTCGCTGACGGCTTCGAGCAGGCAGTCCTTAGGCACACGGGTGTCGGAATCGACGAGGAGAATGTGATCGCCAATGCGGATGTTACCATCAACCCAAGCCCTGCCGTCGTGTTCAGCCCTGACGGATTCCAAGACTTCCCTGTAGAGGTCATTCTCGTCCAACTGGCTCCAGTTCTCTCCACGTTCATGTTGTGCCATGGCCTCTTCAACCCTGCAGCTGATTCTTAGGGCGTAGTTCATGTTGGATGCCTTCTTGAATTTTCCGGGGCGGACGAAGACAAACGGATCCGGTCCGTGCTCGCCCTTGGGATCATGCCTTGGGCGCGCCACCCAGCCAATGCCATGCTCGTCGTAAAATTCCTGGCGCTCCCTGGATTCCTCGGCTCCGAGAACCTGCACTAGGAAATGTCAGTGGGGCTTACATTACGCACTGGCGCAGCACTTACTTCCGTCGTCGTTGACGAAGATATTGGCACTTCCTCCCTGAAGCTCGTAGGTAGAGATGGCTTGCTTGAGCGACCGAATGGTGGGCTCAATGACACTGCGTAAACCCTCCTTGTAAACGGGCATCTGGATGGTTACATGTGGAAGCGGGCCGTTAAAGGTATCACAGTTGAGGCGCCTGGGGGCTTTGCCGGAGTAGTAGCGGCTGTTCTCTTTCATCTGATCGGTGGGGCCAATGATTTGGGCAAAGTTACCGACCAGAGCTTGGAAGAAGAACTAGTATAGTCAGAAGCGGAATCATAGAGTGCAGACATATGGCTTACCAATGATAGCCAGACTTGCGCGGGCAAGCAAATGAGGAAGAGCAGACGAAGCCAGTGCTTTGGGGCTTGGAACTCTTCGATCGCGATCTGCCTGTACCCGGATCCGATCGCTACCGTCAGGAGAAGAATGGACATTCCGCAGTAGGCAGCTTGCCACATCTTCATGTCTCGGGCCTCCTCACCATTGGCTTCTCTAGAATCGCGCGAGTCGTCGTAATCTTCCATGTCGTTTGCGGGGTTCTTCCCTGACTTCTCCAACTCCAAGTCGTGCGCATCATAGCCGTATTCAGCTCCACACATCATCCTCATCATACAATTGATGATGAACTCAGCGCGTTCGAGCGTCAACTTTGGGTCATCCTGCCACACTACCAGCATGCCTCGTGAGGCGATGAAAGCAGCGGACTGACCCCTCTGACAGTGTGGCAAAGCTTCAAAATCGGGAACGATTTGCAAGCGAAGGCCGCTCTGGATTTGCACATACTGGGTATTGCATCGCTCAAGAATGTACTGGATGGCCCTGGTGTTGACGGTCATAGCGCACTGCAAAGTATTAGTGACAATGCCGTGCGGGTGTTTGGCGTTGTTAGACTTACTCGGACGTTCAACTCGGTAACAGCTTCAATGAGACCTGTACCGTCGGTACGAAGCGCATCGGGAGCGCAGGAATAGCGTCCCCTTGACTTCTTCATGAAGACACCTTCGCCAGCTGATCCAAAGGTCCATACCCGCTCCTCCTGCTTGGTGTGGAGCCAGTTGGCCAGGAGCTCAGCCTTGACGTCGACAAGAGCATCTGTGCGCACGGTACTGTCGCTGCCGTGGATGCTGGGAGCCCCGCCGGAATGAGCGCTAGCTGGGCCAAGCTGCATAGGTGTGAAGCTAGCCGGTGACTCGTCGCCAGCTCGGGGTGTTGGCGCCAGAGGATTTTGGGGGGGAAGTTCCTCGCTCCCAGGAGTGTCGTTATGCGGTCGAGAGACATTGTCTCCTTTTCTGAAAATGCCGGGTAACCTCATTTCTGCGTCTTCTCATATGAAGCCAGGGTGGAGAAGGTTTGTGCGATGTGCGTCTGAACGACGAAGAACAAAGGTGCACACGGATGTTAGGTAACGACTGAGAAGAAGGTAACACCAAGCGGGCAGCGAGGTGAAGAGATACTCAGCCTGATATTTAAAAAGTGCACACTTTTTCTAGGTGTACGTGCGGTGGGAGAAGTACCCACACTACTATAAGCGATTACCAGCAGCCACAACTGCACGAGTTCAGTATGAAAACAGTGTAGTGTGGCGATAGGCAATTGGTACTGGTACGCCTAACCTGTATTGAAGTTGTCTTGGGTGAGCCATGCAGGAAAAGGTGGACTTGGAGCTTCATGGTGCCACGGAACCCCAGATAAAAGTAGTCTTGTTGGGTCGTGGTGGAAATCGCGTCTGTGCTCTGTTACATGAGCGCTACCGCATGCTCTTTCTTGCCTCCACAGCCAGTAGATACAACACTCGGACATGTAACGAGGTTGCTCATGGAGATAAGATGCGCTATCATCAGTGACATTGGAACCGTACCAACTTGAGAGTGTTTGTAGCTTTGGGGCTGTTTTAGCCAATGGCTCGGCAGTGTGTACAAGTGCCAGATACCCCTAAGCCCTGTGAATATGTCGGAACTGCCTGGCAGATCGTTTAGGAAAGACGCGACAGCGTTTCTGTGTGTGTGTGAGATGACGCGATGCTGAACATAGCTTGTGGGTAACGATACGCGAACGGGAGGTCCGCGCATCCAAAAGAAAATCCCATCTTCTTACATGAAATATGGTCTTGGGAGGCCAGGCGTCCTTTGTGTTGCCACTGAGGTGGGGCGCCTATAGCTTAACAGCGGGCCAGCTTTGCGCGCTTTAGACCACGCGCATCGAGAAAACCGTAAAGCCCGTCATTGCTACGCAACAATCGTGTCTTATTACCAAGATTACCGCAGACCTAGACGATTAGACAAAGTGAGGTTGGAAAGATCAACGGTTCTTTAGCGAGGACCCACGCGTGACGAATCCGCGTCGCTGCGTTCGCATTGCCAACGATGTCGCACCACCGATACAAGCATGGACCGAAAGAGAACGAAAAGAGATTGTGTACGAGCCTGTAAAGCCATAGCGACCACAAGATCACCGCCTCGCCACAAAGATTGCGACGGGCCCAGCAGCGCCAGAAGAGCTCTGGTCTTTGGCCCAGACACGTGACCCTTAACGGATACGTTTACTGCTGGACAAAATGGAAGACAGTTGCATGATTTTCATTGGTGTGTGAACTCCGTCGCGTAGAAGACTTTGGAAAATGCCGCAAGTTTAGTCATCGAATCCTGGAATATGGTGCGACCCACGTACTCCATGCGCCTGGGCGAAAAGTCGACAAGATGTAAAATTGGAAAGGAAATGGGGAGTTTGGGATCTCAAACACGGCGGATTTTAATCGGCAAGTCTAGAGAATTAGTATATCGCTTCCACAAGCAGTGCATGAAGTCACTCACCTGTAGCTCACTAGTGTGTCCACACGATGGTTGCTTGTGCTGAAGCTGCGCAGCTGCACCTTCTCCCCATTCTTGATCTCCTTGGCGTCACTGTCACCCCACTCGAGAGGCACTTCAGAGTCCGCGTCGGCATAGACAAGAACGTTGAAGGTACAGTTTCCGTCCAGCATGGGTAAGAAAGTCACGGAGGCGGTGATCTGCCTGAAGACAGACTGGATCTCGGCCTGGATTTCAGCCTCGGTCTTGTCTTCTGATGCCTCGCTGGCACTGAGAGTTATCAGCATGTGTTCAAGATGGCTGGCCGTTCTCGCTCACTCTGGAACGGAGTTCTCTTGGTCTGCCGTCTTCTTGGAAGATTTCGCCTTGGCGCTCTTTCCGTAGATTTGGACCTTGATGATGTCAGACACTGGGGTTTGGTATAGTTCATGTGACTTACGTCGAATTGCCAGCGTTCAACATGCTCTCCAGTTTCTTTGCTCGTGATGACGATGACAAGCTTTGAGATCTTGCCCCCGTACATCCACTCCTTCAGCTGGCCCATGATCTTCTTGATGTAGGCCTTGACTTGGTCATCGGCAGTCACTGGAAAGGTTAGAGTGTGGCTGATGGCAGGACTGGCAGGTCACGTACCCATCATAGTCAAACCATATTTCTTCACGCTGCATCTTGTTAATGGCTGGTTGGGGTCGAGGTGTAGTACAGGCTTACGCGGTGAAGTCCTCGGCGGGGTACACGCCTCTTTGGAACCTGAGCAGAGTAAGTCACCTAGGTCATAGGCTACAATGCGCTCATCATGCTTACAGGATGGTGTTTACGGAATACTCGAACTAATTGGGGTAAGCGTAGGATGCGTTGCTTGGTCTGACCGACTTACAAACTCATTGACGAGTTTCGAAGAGCCCTTGAGCGCAAGCTTGTGCACCTTGGAGGAATCGCTCTTTGAAGACTTGGATTCGCCTTTTGAGGATTTGGATCTGGAAGAGGTCTTGGGTTGAGACATTGCAGCAGTGGCGCGCGGTGAGGGTTGGCGGTGTGTTGTTTACGGGGTTTGTTTATAGGGTAACTGCGACCAGCGTGACCCGGCGGAACAGGAAGCAACGAGACAGCGCAGCAAGGCTGTTCAAAGAGAGCGCGATCGACGACCGAGTGTCACCGGATATCAGAGTCAGGCCTAGTATGCTTGCGGGGTACTGAATTGGCGGATGGGAGGTCTGGTAGTGGGTCGGGGTGCAGATGCAGGAACCGCCTGCCGCCGATAAGATAAGATGGATCAAAAAAGTCGTCGACACCACCGCCCGAGCGACGAGAGGCAGGCACGGATCCGACCTCATGCCCACTCATGCGATCATGCGTGCGAACTGCGAGCAGCCTTCTGCACGGCTGGCGGACGCCCTCGGCCCGCTGCAATGGCTTCCCGCGCACCTCACGCCTGCTTGAGCGCCTGCCGCCCCTCGCCAGAAGCTATGCGCAGGCCTTCCGCCCCCAGTCAGAGCTCGAGAAGCGCATCGCCGACATTCCCATCGACCGCTACCGCAATTTCTGCATCGTCGCCCACGTCGACCATGGCAAGTCGACCCTCTCGGACCGCCTGCTGGAGATCACGGGCACCATCCAGCCCGGCGGCCAGAAGCAGTTCCTCGACAAGCTCGACGTGGAGAGGGAGCGCGGCATCACCGTCAAGGCACAGACATGCAGCATGATATACAACCACGAGGGACAGGACTACCTGCTGCATCTGGTGGACACGCCCGGCCACGTCGACTTCAGGGCCGAGGTGTCGCGGAGTTATGCCAGCTGTGGAGGGGCCCTGCTGCTCGTGGACGCCAGCCAGGGCGTGCAGGCGCAGACAGTCGCCAACTTCTACCTCGCCTTCGCCCAGGGCCTCACGCTGGTCCCCGTGCTGAACAAGGTCGACCTCCCCCACGCCGACTCGCCGCGGGTGCTTGAGCAGATGCACGAAACCTTCGAGCTCGACCCCAAAGACGCCGTACTCGTCTCAGCCAAGACCGGCCTCAACGTCGCGGCCCTCCTTCCTACCGTTGTCGACAAGATACCCGCCCCAGTCGGCGATCTGAAGAAGCCTCTCCGCATGCTCCTCGTCGATTCGTGGTACGATGTATACAAGGGCGTCATCCTGCTGGTGCGCATATTCGACGGGCAGGTGCGGCCTGGGGACACCATACGCTCCTTCGCAACCAAGCTGAAGTACATCGTGGGTGAGGTTGGCATCATGTACCCCGACCAGACGCCACAGACAGTGCTCAAGGCTGGGCAGGTCGGCTACATCTACTTCAACCCCGGCATGAAGCGCTCGCAAGAGGCCAAGGTCGGCGACACCTACACCACCATTGGATCTGAGAAGCTTGTAGAGCCCTACCCAGGCTTCGAGGAGCCCAAGAGCATGGTCTTCGTCTCCGCCTTCCCCACAGACCAGGACCTCCACGAGCATCTCGAAGACAGCATCCAGCAGATCATTCTCAACGACCGCAGCGTTACATTGCAGAAGGAGTCGTCCGATGCTTTGGGGGCTGGCTGGCGCTTGGGATTCTTGGGTACACTGCATTGCTCCGTCTTCGAGGACCGCTTGCGTCAGGAACACGGTGCCAACATCATCATTACACCGCCCTCAGTACCCTTCAAAGTCATCTGGAAAGACGGCACCGAGTCCATCATCACCAACCCCAATGAGTTCCCCGATCAAGACCAAGCGCATTTCAGAGTGCAGGAGGTCCATGAGCCCTACGTATCTGCAACCATCACAATGCCTGACGAATATCTTGGTGAGGTCATCAAGCTTTGCGAGGCCAATCGCGGCGAGCAGAAAGAGCTTACCTTCTTCACCGCCACCCAAGTCATTCTCAAGTACGACATCCCGCTGTCGCATCTTGTTGATGATTTCTTCGGCAAACTCAAAGGCTCCACCAAAGGTTACGCCTCTCTTGACTACGAAGACGCAGGCTTCCGCAGGTCGTCCATCATCAAGCTCAACCTACTTGTCAACGGCTCCCCAGTCGATGCCGTGTCACGCGTCCTGCACACATCGCAAGTTGATAGGGTGGGCCGCATATGGGTCGAAAAGTTCAAGGAGCATGTCGAGCGACAAATGTTTGAGGTCATCATACAGGCTGCAGCCGGCAGGAGAATCGTGGCGCGAGCTACCATCAAGCCGTACCGCAAGGATGTCCTCGCCAAGCTCCATGCTAGTGATCTCAGCAGACGGCGCAAGCTCCTCGAGAAGCAGAAGGAGGGCAGGAAGAAGCTGAGGTCGGTAGGGAGTGTCGTTATCGAGCAGGAAGCGTTCCAGAAGTTCTTGGCCAAATAGAAAAATCAATCGTCTTATCCGCTCTTCATCACGTACCCCAGCGCTAAACCCCCGGGTGCGAACACACGGCAGAACTCGCCGTTGGCCAAGCCCGTCCGCTCGTTCGTTAGGACGGCATGTCCGATAATTCTCAACCGTGTGCATAAGTCGCGATAGTATAATACTAGACATGCATCGCCATTCAGCGCCATGACATTGAGCCTGCAACAGGCCCCGATTCTCCCTCCCGTTCCCCTATCAACCTTGGAAGCGTTGATTCGCTGGTCATCCCATCCGATATCACCCAACAATAGCAACAATACAACGGTTCACCGCGCTCAGCCGTTTCGGCTAGTAACGAGTCATCTCGATGCCGAACAACTGGTGGTCTGCGAAGTCCGTGCAGTGTCTCAACGTGCTCGATCTTTCAGCTGATCAGCGCTAACAGGTCGATGACATCAGCCAGCCATCGAGATCGCGCGTGTCGGCCTTTTCCAAGAACCACTCGGCTTGCGTTACAGCTCGCGTACCTGACAGCATTTCAAGCGAAGCTAGGGCCACAGTTATCGATTATTCTATCCGTAAACAGCTATCTTAACGCTAAGTTTAGCGCACAAGCCCCTAATTCTATTATTGTCCTCCTAGTTATCCTTCTAACTATTTAGAGTCCTAGACCTAATTACTAAGAGTTCTTTTATAACTTTGTCTAGCTCTAGAAGCTTTCTATTAGCGTAAGCTCTATAAGTAGTGCTAGGAGGATTAAGCTAGATAGTAGTAAGCTAGGTCCTCTTAGTTTGCTAATAGAGGAGCTCTTAGTTATTATAATAGCACTACTATAGAGGTGTCTTATTGCTATAATTATTAGGCTTAAGTAAAGTATCGCTATTTAGGTTGTGTAGCAAGATAGCTGTAATATAGTAGTTATAGATAGTAAGCTTTATAAGTTAGACTAAGTTAAATGTAGAGGTAGAAGGAAAGCGCTTATATTTAGTATAATATTTGCTATTTTTTTAGAGTTGTGTATAAGCAAAAGTCTAGTAGTAGAAGATTTTTAGCTATAAATATCTGTGTAGGCTAGGTAGTAGTAGTAATGTAACTAATAGTTGCCTTAAGTAGTGTACTAGTTTCTAGTAAAGAGAGCCAACAATAACCGTGGCGAACGATCTCTAGTGCGGCTTGGATCTGTGGCTAAGCCGTCTCCAGCTTGGTGTCGCGATACTCGACCGTGGGTTGCATAATGCTTCGGACGGTACGCTTGGGGAAGTGCGCCGACATGACGTTTGCCCGAGGGCCAACTTTTCTACGTGTCGGAACCGAGAGAGACATTGGCAGGGCGTCAACAGCCTTTGTTCAAGCACAATTAAACCTACGAAGCGAACCTTTTCAGATCCAGCTGATACTGGGATATTTACACTTCGAGTGACAGGTCGTGGGCTGTATCTTGATGTCTAGCGGCATGTAGCGCATCTTGACAACGCTCGCTAATCTCTGCAGAGCCTAGCCGACCATGTTGACATCAAGGATGCCATGAACCTCCGAACGGCACGCTTGCGACGATCCTGCGGGCATGACGTTAGGCTGATGGCCAGACCAGGACGCCTGGACGGGCGGGCAACATGGGCAAATCTCAAATCTAAGAGACGTGCCGCTGCGGGCTGCAATACCTGCGTTGGTATGAGTTTGGGTTGTTCCTCGCACTTGACAGCCCGCAGGACGGTCTTTTCAATCTCCTGCTCCCCTGCGTGACTTGTCGAGGCTTCATCAAGATGGCGAGATTCTTGGGCCTCAGAGGTCGCAGTCTAGCGAGCGCCATTAGCATCACGTGTGGGCTTTGCTTTTTGTGAGTTACCCCATCCGTGTGTGTCGCGTAGATTATTCAAGGACTAATCTGTCAAAGATGTTTCGGCTATGCCCAGGGTGTTATGGGCGGTCTCTTGACTGTCCAGCAGTTCTTGGACAGATTCCCTCAGGTTGACATTGTCAACCAGAGTTCGTTCCACAATGCGTGGGTCACAGGTACGTCGAACCAAGTCTTGTGGGCGCATCAAGGCCTCAGATTGGTACTGGAGCATGCAGGGTCCTGACTGACATCAATAGGTCTTACGGTCGGAACATGGCACCTGGGCTGTATCGTCTCAGCCATCGCGACAATCTTCGTTGGTGACCTGCTAGGTCGTCGGCGCACACTCATCCTCGGTCTTACCTTTTGGGTGATTGGCGAAATCATTCAGACGTCTTCCTACAGCTTTCCGCAGTTCATCGTCGGTCGCGCGATCGCTGGTTTCGGTAAGCTCTTTGACATCTTGTAGGACAGAACTCCGGACACGAAAACT